GAGAGAGAGAGAGAGAGAGAGAGAGAGATTGTCAACGTGTTCAGCATGCGGTCCTGTTCGATGGTACTTCAGGTGCTTGCTCAACGCTCGTCTTTCGTTTTATCCTCACTTGTTATTCAAAGGTCGTTCAGAACAACACCAGCAAGTGGCATTCTCAGGAATTTCAGCAAAGGGAGAGACAAAATGCCTTGCCAAGTTGCCCCTGTTGTCCTTTCCGAGACAGTGGGAGTATCTTTGTTAATGTTTTCTTACTCCAGGTACAAGGCCCCGGATGCACGGATTAACAGATAATGGCTGTAGATAAGATCAACGGCCAAATATCGTAATGGGACCTCGCCCCAGAGTCCGGACTAGTGTTCTTGCAGGTCGCATTTGATATCCTCTCAAAAAGAACAGGCCCAAAAACAAGGAAAAAAGAAAAAAAAAGGCAAAACGGTCACATTTGAGCTGATTTAACTCAAACGATCCCAATCTTTTCTTTGAAGTTTTTTCATTCGTTTTTTTTTGGACTGACTTCACGAAGCCACCTTTGTTGTGTGCCGCTATTTCTCTTCCACCGCTTGTGTGTTCCTCCAGGCACTCCGTTTCTCACATGTGTGCAAGTATGCATGCAGTGAGGAAGATCCAGTGTTGCTAGACATGGAAGGTCCTGCTGAAGGTACTACTACCCTACTCTCCCATCCTCTCTCGCCCCTGTCATTGCCAACCTCTGACAGACTCTCATCCCTTGCCTGGCATGATGCAGAATGAGGACTATGCATGATAACGAAAGAGTTAAGCCCACGACAAGAAAATTGAGGGAGGGTTTTTAAGAACTTTCTATTGTCGCCACGACCTTTTGTGTGACCCTCTGTACAGAAGGTATGGGTGATGCTGACCATCGGGGCCCTTCATGACCCCCTTGTAAACTGCAACTTCCTCCTGAAAAATCAGGCCAGCCCCAGCAGGCCCACAAAAAGAGACCTGTGCCTGTCAGATTGACAATTGAACGGGCCAACCGAAAAAGGCGCTCGAATCCCCGAAACTGCAAGGGGCCATAAAAGGTATTGGCATTCTCATTGTGTAAGGGGGGAGAAGGCAGGGGGGTGGGGGGGGGAGGGAGGAGGCATTGGTCCTATTTCTATTTGTTGGTTTATCAATCGCTGACATACTTGCTCTATTGGCCCGCAGACGTGCACATGTTGATGTAGCCGGCCTCCTATAACATCTCTCACCATACTTTCTAGACACTGTAGAACGCTAAATCTACAGAGGGTTTAAGCCTTAAGCCTTCAAGTTGCTGTTTGGTTCCTGTTGTGGTTGTGGTTGTTGTTGTTGTTGTTGTTGTTGTTGTTGTTGTTGTTGTTGTTGTTGTTGTTGTGGTTGTTGTGGTTGTTGTTTCTTGGTTTGGTTAACGAAGTGTGTTAACACCGACCAAAGCAATTGATCATCTACTCAAACCACAATTAGAACCCCACAGACGACTTTGTTTTGAGAAAGCGAAAGGTGGGGTGGTGGCACCCCATTTATTGTTAAGGAAAGACAAAGGTGGGGTGGTGGCACTCCATTTATTGCTGGGGAAGGACAACGGTGGGGTGGTGGCACTCCATTTATTGCTGGGAAAGGACAAAGGTGGGGTGGTGGCCTGCTGAAGAGTTCTGGCCTTATGGTTAATTACTGTTGATTTTGTTAACGAAGTGTGTCAAAAATCTTCGATCTAGGAAGCCTGCCAACACCCCTTGGCAGTACCCAGAGGTCCCCGGTCTGCGTTCTTGGGAGCGCATTTATTGGTGGGGCTCCGTTTTCTTGTGGGGTCCATTCATTGGCGGGGCTCCACTTCTTGGTGGGGGTGTATTTATTTGTGGGGATCCATTGATTTGGCAGCACTCCATTTATTGCTGCGGAAGGACACCTGCTGACAATTGGGGTCGGTGCCCCATAAGACAAGAGTACACAACGAGCATTAACCATAAGGGCAGAACTCTTCAACAGGCCACCACTCCATCTTTTGCTTTCTCAATTTGCACCAGAGGAGGGCCCCCTCCATGATAACCCACGGCCCCACTTTTGCTGTTCTCAATTTGCAATTTTGCACCATAAGGGGCTTCAAGATAACCCCCCCAACACCCCCCAGTGATCAATGCTGCCTCAAATTTTGTCATAAAGGCCCTCTGGAGACACAACCCCCTGCTGGCCCCTGATGGTGATTGTGGAACGTTCTGAATCTCCTGAATCTTCTGAATCTTCTGAATCTTCTGATGATCTGGATCCCTTAGTTTCTGTTGGCACTTTTTCGGAAGTGTTTCCACGGTTTGCTTCTCTCTTCTTCTTCTTCTTCTTCTTCTTCTTCTTCTTCTT